GTAATGCATGACAGCTACACCGGCACCGGCAATAAGACTGAACATAAACTGCTTGACAAGATCCACTTCAATTGGCACTAAAAATAAAAAGTCAGCATCCGACATCCGAAATAGAGATTTGACAAAAATTCAAAGGAGAACTTACTAAAACAAAATGCAACGACACAGACAAACCACGCATCCAAAACACTCAGTACAACCACCCATCCATCCCACACAATCACTGCGTCCATCCTCATGGCCATCATCCCCGTGTAATGCATCCCGACTACCGTAAATCCCAACAAGAGCCCCTTGAAGACAATTCTCGCAGACAACGTTTCCCAAAACGTCCATACAAACCTCCCTAACGCCCATGTCCCACATATGCGATTCGAGAAAGCTTGCGGCGTGCCAAGCGGGGTAGGAAGAAGATGATCCAGATTGGGTCTCCCCATTGCATCTGAAGGGGCATACCCACCATCCTCCATAAAGGCACCCGAAAGGGTCCATCGTCTCGATCCCTCTATCATGGGCATGTCCAAAATGGTCTCCTCATCCACCAACGTCATAGTGCTCCCCCGCTCCTCTTTATCCAAATCCTTGACCTGTACATATCCCCCCACCCAAAGCACCTCAAACGCAAACGTCCCAAACGTTGCAACAACAGCAACAACAACACTCGCAATCGTCAACCCCACATCAAACGTTATGGGAATCCCGATATCCAAGGCCATCATCCCTACGAAATGCATACTCCATATCGCGCATCCGCCGAATGTGATCGAGGCCATCAAGATCCATCCGAGGGATTTTGTCCGTGATTTGGATTTGTGGACTTGGCACATGAGTTGGGTTGTTGTGTAAGATCCCTATATAAGCCAAATACCATCAACAGTTTAGCCAGACAAACCAATGCAAAGAGGTTGGCAAAAAGGGGATTTTACCAATACGGAAACGACATAGGAAATGAGAACCAGCTCCCAAGACCATCGCATCTCCAGTCGAGTTCCCATCTGGTGGGTCTCCGTGTCGTTTGGCATAACTGGCAACACCATAGCCGTATATCCTCCCCAAACATATAAGAAAACAGTACAAGCAACTTTCTAAATACACCTTTTCATCCACCCCAAACCAAACTGTGACGTTTTTTGTTTTTGCAACGAGTCAATATCCGAGGGTTTAAAAAACCAAAAATCAAAAAAAAACATAAACAAAGCAACACGCACATCCGGATAAACAACGACAAGCTTTTCAAGGGTAATTCGTCAGCTGCCCCTCCCTTGGCCCCTGCTGTCATCAAAGCACAAAGGAAACCCCAAAGGGGGAGTATGGAAGAGTTGGGCAATTGAGGGGAGTTGCTTTCAATTGTTTGAATAGGAAAAACGCGATGAACGATGGCAGCAAAAGGGTTGGGTGGGGAAAAGATGATGGCGTATTGGGGCGGAATGAACAACAAAAGATTGGATTTGGCTTTTTGAACAAGGTTTTTCAAGAATATCGTCGTCGTCGATTGTTTTTAAAAAACGGAAGAAACGACCAGTTCATCAACCACTTTTGAACACTTTTGGTGCAAGGTCTGAATACGTGACTGTGCCACCAACTTTCATCTCCTTCCCCCCCTTTAATCAACCAAGGTGTGCAGCCGTGAAAAACGCCTTGAAATGTCCCCCTGTGGACGTTGTCATCCGTGAAGGGGGGGAGACGGAGAAGGAGATGGGCATGGAGAAGGAGAAGGACGGGGGGGCTGGGGTGGGATCATCACGGAAATGGCGGGGGTGTACGGTCGAACCGGAGAAAAGACCACCCTGATCTGCAATACGACAATCTCTGATCAGTCAGTCAAACATTTGAAAATCTGACGGAGAGCCAAAGAGCAAATGAAACTCATCCATGTGCCAAGAGTGTGGAGATTAAACCTTTTTTGAAGGAGCGGAGATGCCGTTGTTTCTCCTTGCTGCATATTGGGTTTAAAAGATCCGAGGGGATGGACAATAGCGCCCTTTCCCTAAAGCCGC